CCACCCTACTCCTTTCATAACTCAGTGCATGCCGCCAGCAACACAACCCCCCACGGCAGGTGGCACCTGTACGGCCACACTGCACAGCCGCNCTTTCCCAGCAATGAATGAGGGCAATAATGAGCGCCTGCAGCATGTTGTATTCCTACCGCCCGACTACACCAATGCAGTTGTGTCGCTGGACCCTGTGGATCACACACATGCGACTGGCGCTGGTGGACGTGGACGTTGGCTTTGTCCAGGCCGCCTTTGGGTACTGCCGTGGCCGGCTGGCTTCGACAGCAGCACTGCGTGGAAGCCCTCATGCTGAACTGGACACCGGACCCAGAGCGACGTGTCTACACCCTTCCTGCCACACTGCAAATGTACGTTCTGCCGCAAAGTTTCTGGCTGCAGGACCCCGTGTGTGTCGAGGTGGGTGGGGTTGCATGCTGATGGTTGAGGACTTGCTGCTGTGGTGGTCGTGGTGCCGCTGCCAATGTTGCCAATGGGCCGGCGGTGCTGTTAGCGGCGCCCGAGCAGCATCAAACCCTACACACCCACAGGTGCCGGGACCTGCCTGGCAGCACAGAGGTGGAGACTCTCTAGGTGCGGCACCGCACTGGGCGGCATCTGTGCTGGGATACAGAGCCTGACCAAGACCTGAACGCCAAAACGCGTCTGTCCTGTTCCCTGCACGATGTAGCAGGCCGCCGTGCGAGGTCACACATCCGGGCCACGTTCCTGTTCAGGCATGCAAGCCACGCTGCATGAGGACGCTGCGAAACACACCTGACGCGCCAGCAACATGCAGCAACCGTTGCGTGTCTTGATAACCGTGCACTGCTATCGCTGCGTCTACCGAAGCTGCATGTGCCCAGGTTTAATGCCGCCTGGTGATAATATAAGAAATCGCGCGACGTTGCAGGGCTCCACTCGGGTTGGGCGAAGGCCAGCACCGCCCTTGCCGTCAATGCGGTGATACGTTCCCAATTTCTGCAGCGCGCTTGCCACAATTGTCCATACTTTTGAAGGCTTCCCTTTGCGACCCTGTCGCCGGTCCTCTCAGCAAGCCAAGCTAGCGAAGTCTCTCCATTTCTCTATTTTGCCGCTTTCTTCCCGTGTCGCCGCGAGCTGTCCTTTATGTTGGCCTTTATAATTGTCTTTCTCTTTCTTTGTTTTCGAAATATTTAATTTGCATTAAAGCATTTCAATTGTTCTGTGGACGTTTGCATGCCAAGGGACGTGCGGACGCGCCCGCCTGACTTCGCGCTGTGGCGTTTCGCAGGAGCTTGTGCAACCGGTCCTCACAGCACCAACGAATCTAGCCAAGCCACCGCACGCCTGCGATTATTTCACGCACATACGCGTATCCCACCAGCACTCCTGGCTTTTGAGGGCTGCCCTTCGCGCGGCCCGCCGTGGCCTTTTCGCATTTTGGCTTTGCACGAACAGTTTATTCTGGTTGCTCGTCCTCCTAGCATCTGCGAGCGGCTGCGTAACTTATCCCTTAACCAATTCAATAGTTCGTGTAAGTGCGCACGACGAAGCAGTAGCGCATGTATGGCTGCGTGTGACGAGTCGTCGGCAGGGAGGGCTGTTGCCCCGGATGTGAAAGGGACGTTGCGCCGCTGCGATTCAAAACGGTCGGACGGACTTCTTCTCGCAATTTGATTAAGCAGCCCCTTCGTTAAGCAGCCCCTTCGCACAAATGTGTCCGGTCGTACTGTGCCGAATAAAACATCCGTACAAGACGCCCACAAAGACAGGCGCGAATTTTACCGCGCGGATGCGCGCGTGCGATTCTTAAAATGCGCCTGTAAAAGTGTATGTAATTTTCTCGGCGAAAGGCCGCGGTGTGCCTGCGCGTTGCGCAGCAGGGCATGTTGGCCACAGTCACACGCGGCATGCATCTGGGACATTTGGCTGGCTGCTTAGCCTGAGCTGAAAAAAACTGAAAGCATACAACGTAGCTTGCAAGAATGGCCACATGAAACGGCTGCGGGAAGAGGAAGCGTTTGGCGAAGCGACACTTTTTACACAGCACGGCCAGCGACGTCGTGCAATTGTCCATTACCGACGCCAGCCGCGCCAGCCGCTTCAGATCTGCGTTCGCCACCGCCTGCAGCACTTCAAAGGGCTGGCTCACAACTTGCAATGCGAGCGTCTCCAACATTCCAATTGCGCGCTGGAAACCGCGAACGTTACTTACTGCCATTCTTTGAAGTGCTGGTATTCGTCCACGCAAAGTTATGACAGTACTCCGCTGGCTTTCTTTTTTTAAAGGCACATTTATACTTTTGTGTCATGCCCCTCCTCGGCTTTATATACACCCCGCACTACGTCCTGCGCCTTTTCGGGCCTCGCGTCGCTGGACGAGTCCGCCGACAGCAACGCGGGCCGCTCCGTCTTCCGCGACGTCCCTTCGGCCGCTTCGCCCGACGTACCATCTGGCCTTCAGGTTGCAATGTTCATCAACTCCTGCACTGCACCTCCCGATTGCAACTCCTCGGCGCTACGCTCTCGCTGTTGCCGCGGTTGCTGGCAGTGGCCGGCAGTTGCCGGCGGATGCCGCCTCGCTGGCAGAATTTGGAACCGTTCGCCTTTACCAGCCGGCGCACAGCAAGATTGCGCTTTGCGTTCTTTCGCATGCACCGAAGCTACATGCCGACGCGGCATCGTTCTCGTCCGCGTGTGCTTCATTGCGAATTGTCTGGTTCTGCTCTGGATCGCTAACATTGCGCCCATGGAGCGTTCAGGTGCCCGGACAGCGCTGGCCAGCCGGGGCTCTTACTCCGGCCGCGAGTATCTCTCGCGCTTCGGAAAGGGGCCTCTTTACGTTTTAACAATTTCTCACGTCTTTACAGTTGCGCAACGCCGTCAGCACCATGTCCCCAGTCCCGTCTCCTCATAACCTAACGCACTTTACTTCATTTCATACATTACATACCAATCCTGTCCGAACTCGCGTTCCCAACGAGATGCACGCCGACGAGATGCACGCCGCTCCTGCCTTGCAACTGCTTTTTGCTCTGCTCGGCGCAACGCAACGCGCCGCTTTCACATTTCGGAATGACCACCTGCCATGTCCATGGCGCTTTATTCATTTCCGCATACAACTTGTCCCAGCGCCCCACCCGTTACCGCAGCTGCCGTCGCCCATGCTCGCCATGCGAAGACGAACAGACCGCGCTTCGTCGCCCTTCAGATTCAGCCCGCCCCCTTAAAGCGTCCCCTTTGTACGATGCCGCGACTTGTATAAAGGCCAGCCAGTGTCGCCTTCTTTTTCATACATTCTCCCTAAAACCCTTTTTTTGCTTATAGACCGAACTCCCTTTTGCGGACGGCAACCAGCCAGCCTGTCGCATCGCTGACACCTGTTCTACTGTTGTAACCTCGCACAACATGCCTCCGAAAATGGCACGCCAATCACAAGTCCCACCTCAGACCCTTTCGCCCGTTAACTTGGGCGCTTACGGCACGCCTTCACCGAGCCTGCCGTCGGGCTCTTCTGCCGGCGCCGCAGCCAAGCCGCCCGTCAACATAGCTGACCTGTGGGCGCAGCTAGCAGCGGTGTCGCCAACCGGCGGAGGCCGCGATCGCTCCTCGCCGGCCGGGGTGCCGAGACGGCCCCTCACCTTCAAGTAAGCGCCTCATCTTCCGGTACTAGTAGCCGCCTTGCCGTGCCGCACCCTACTGAACAGTACACATGCCATCCCTGCTGCGCACCCACGCGCCTCTCCGGCTGTCCCATGCATCCACCATCTTGACACGCCCTGCTGCTGCCCCTCGTACCGTCAGGCAGCAACTGCTCTTGGGAAGCATGGGATGTCACGACGAGGACGTCCTGCACGCGAAGCACACCAACGCTGAGTCCAACATGCTCCTGGCCGAGGGCCGAAAGTACAGGGACGAGTTCCAGGCGCAGCACGGCGCCAAGCCCGCCAGCAGTAAGACGTCCTACCTTGCTGCCCATTGCTCGCTTGCGCCAGCTGCCGGACCTCGTGCCCGCTTTCCAACTGCCCGGCCACAAGGTCCGTACCTGTCACGCCCCGCCCCTGCATGTCTTCACTCCGCCTAGGGTCCGACGATTTCAGCGCTAGGCTTCTGGACATTGGGCAGTGCTGTTGTATTTGGGCACGATCGCACTTAGGGTTTCATTCACGGTGCATACATGTCCGACCTTAACTCGTGTGTGAACGGCGGCTGCTGGCCATACGGACAGCAGCGCTTGGGATGGTCTATTGCGTGAGCATTGGGGGAAAGGGGGGGGGCCCGCTGCACCCCTTCCTATGTCCGCTCGTCGCGTGCTTGGGGGCAAATTGGTAGCGTGCGAGTTCACCCATCATGTTGCCTCTTCTGGCATGGCCATCCACGCGCAACAGGAAACTTGAACCTAGGCCTTATTCTTCGTTCCTACATCATAGCAAAGGACCGACGCGACGTGGCCTGTGCACACGCTGTTGCTGTGGTGCTGTTCTTGTTCTTCTGGTTGTGGTTCCTGTTGTTCTTGTATACGCGCGCGCGACGACATGACTGCATGTACATTGCGCCGTGCGCCAAACGCCCTGTAACTCGCTTCGACTAAACTCACATTCCAATATGCCACTGCACTTTCCTCTCCAGCCTGGCCCCATTCTCTTCCTCGCAAACATACTTCGGCACCTTCCTATCCAACACCATACGTGCTTTAGAAACGCGGGCAGCTGCTTCACAAGGACCCCCCCTCTTTAAAAAAGCTGATAATCAATCTTAAGTGGAGTGAAAATGCAGCAGACGGCTACAGCGGCCACCACCGTTGTACAATGCGCCACAGCGAGAGCATAATACACCCCGAGCAGTGCGTCTGGTTCTTACGTCCCTGAATTATGTCGCCTAGGCTACAGGTATCGCTTCAGGTATATCTCGCAATCCAATTCATGGCAACGCACAGCGGAGAGAGAAAGGGGGACACCGGACGACATCCGGCTGCGGAAAAAATATTATTCAATAAATTATTTAATTACTCAATTAACTAATTAATCAATTAATTAAATGGGCTACGTCGGAAAATTTGTAGGGGGTCCAAATTTGCTTCCCCGAAGGGGACAGCCAAGCCTTATAAAGTACCAGCTCGAGGAATTTTCGCTCTCTCAGAGCTCTCAGAGGCAAAGTTACCAGGACCATAACCATAAATAGGCTTTTAACGATAGCTCCATCGTGACTAGGTTAATTTCAGGCCCCCTGGCTCAAACGTGTAAGTACTACCTTTTTGCATTAATTAATTATTTATTTATCCTGGGCTGTAAAGCATTGCATACGTTGGGAGATGTTCTTTGCGCGCGAGAGGCCTTGGATGGAGTTATGAATGCAACGGACCAAGCAGGCCTAGCAATACGCAAGGCTTGGCATCAAATAGTGGATAAATACCTCCAACCGCAAACCCCACTAGCTAAATCCCTGTGCACCTATCGTAAATGGCAGGAATGTATGGATGCTATTGCCGCTCTTCTAGATGATATTCCAGCGAATTGGAGACAGGCGGCTAGTCTTTTGTTGCCGCTGAGTGTAGAATCTAGGGAAGCGATGGTGCCCCCTATTGAGTCGGTTACTCAAACCCTAGTGTCGAGGCTTGGTTGGAGATGGGGTGTAGGGCCTCCAATCCGATTCCAACATTTATCCGTTAAAATAGCGACTAATATGCAACTTTCACCTTTTTCGATGGCTCGCCGTGTGGCCCATACCCTTTTCATCAAAGAGGCGACGGGTTCTTCTGAGATATTGGATGAAGCTATTCTTCTTTTGCAACGGACATTCCATCGTTTATGGTTTCATTTACGGTGGGAAAATGAACAAAAAGAGATTTGGTGGCGTCTTGCGGTTGATGGGGTGCCTATGTTAGGAAATTCCCATCTTAGGATGTCGCGCCCAACGATATGTGGTTGTGGAGGTTATCCAATAGGTTCAGTGGGAGGTGTATCCCCTCGCTATCATCACTTCTGGGCCTGTCCGGTGGCACAGGCAATAGCAGATCAACTTACTCTTTCAATAGGATTGCCAGTCTCAAGGGAGCAACTTTGGCTTATCCAAGCCCCACAATCAGTGCAACAATGTGTTTGGGATGTTGTGGCTCTTGCTGCGGTGTCAGCCATGGAGCATGGGAGACGTTATATGGCTGCAAAAATCAAAACCAACCCGGCACTGTTACCTGGTCCTTCCCTTACGGAAGAAGCAATTTGTCGAGTTATTGTTGATTTTTGGGGCCGCATTCAGGGTTTCGCAGCTTTAGGAATTCCACGAAAAGGTTGGGAATCCGTTGGCGCACATCACCCCTTTTTGAGGATTATATCTGGCAAATTGATTTGTTCGCGAGAGCGGTTACCGATGAGAGGTTAATTATCTGAGATGATAATCTTTTGGTATATTAGTCTATACTGCAGTGCACGGCCAGCTGGCTCTACTCTTCGGGAGTCTGGAGCCCACTGTAACAACCACACACACATTTATTTGATTCAGGTGGTACAGAATTCGATTCAGTGAGCAAAACGTTGGAAATGCAAAGAACGCCCGGTTTTTGGCATGACGTCGTATCCGGTCCCTGTCCATACATACATACGTACGTACACGTACATACATAAAAAATACATATTGGGCTGATGATGGTCTGGGCTGGGCTGGGTACGGGGAGGGGAGGGGAGGTGGCGGCTGGGGTTGGTCAAAATGGTGCCTTACATTACATTACATTACAAATGGGGGGGCGTTGCCCAAAAATCCATAATTCCACAGCGGCAGATATACACACACCTGAAGAGATATCCCCGAACAGCTCCAAATAAATACACACACGTGCATACATACTTACATAAATACATACATACAAACGCACATGCACACACGCACCGGATGTATGCCATCAACACCTCGCATCAACACCTCGCATCAGCATCATCAGCATCCATCTCACCCGTGTTCGCTACCTATCTCGCCAGGCTGCGCGCCGCCGCCGCCGCCCCACCACCACCACTGTTGTTGTTGTTGATTGTGACATTGTGTATGTATGTACGTCTGTATGTATATGTGTCTCAAACTCTCCCTCAAGACATACATACATACACATACACACAACAAGGCAAGATCACCGCATTCCGCGGTGGTGATGGATTTTATATCACCAGCAGCAGCATCA